TATAGTTCTAGGTTTCACATTTAAGTCTTTGATCCATCTGGAGTTCGTTTTTGTGTGTGGTGTGAGGTACAGATCTTGTTTCATTTTTCTGCAAGTGGATCTCCAGTTTTGCCAGCACCATTTATTAAACAAACATTCTCTTCCCCATTTAATGGATTTTGGGCCTTTGTCTTCCATCTTCTTTTGATGTATCCTGCATTATTCAATATTTTGCCATTTGTATCCTTCAATATTGCAACTTGATGCTTGAATGTTTTCTTCATTTCTTTCAGCTTGAGAAATCCTGAGTATGTTCTTCCCCTTTGATTTTCCAACTCCAGGTCTTTGCACATTGCATTATAATACTTTACTTTTGTCCTCTCGAGCCACCCTTTGAAATCTTCTCTTCAACTCTTTTACTTCATCGTTTCGTCCACTCACTTTAGCTGCTCTCTGTTCAAGAACAAGTTTGAGAGTCTCTTCTGACATCCATTTTGCTCTTCTCTTCCTTTCCTGTCTCAATGACCTTTTACTTTCTTCATGTCTTTGATATCATCCCACAACTTACCTAGTATCTGGTCACTGGTTTTAATGTGTCAAATCTATTCTTCAGATAGTGTCTAAATTCAGGTGAGAAATACTAAAGGTCATAATGTGGCTCGTGTAGCCTTGTTTTAATTTTCTTTCAGTTTCAACTTCAACTGGCATATGAGCAATTGATGGTCTGTTCCATATTTGGCCCCTGGCCTTGCTCTGATGGATGATATTGAACTTCTCCATCGACTCTTTTCACAGATGGACATGGTTTGATTTCTGTGTATTCCATCTGGCAAGGTCCATGTATATAGTCACCATTTACGTTGTTGAAAAAAGGTATATGCAATAATTGGCTGGTCATGCAAAATCCTATCATGCATTCTCTGGTGTTGTTTCCATGACCAAGGCCATATTTTGCAACTAGCAATGCTTCACATTAGTAGTTTCACATTCCAATCACCAGTAACTATCAATACATCTTTGCTGCATGTTTGATCAATATCAGACTGCAGAAGTTGGTAAAGACAGTCAGTTTCTTCTTCATTGGTTTTAGTAGTTGGTGTGTAAATCTGAATAATAGTAGTATTAACAGTATTAATTAATCTTCCTTGTAGATATATAGATATTAAGCTATCACTGACCGCACTGTACTTCAGGACAGATCTTGAAATGTTCTTTTTGACAATGAATGCGATGTCATTCCTCTTCAATTTGTCATTCCTGGCAGAGTAGACCATGTGATTGTCAGATTTAAAACAGCCAAATACCAGTCCATTTCAGCTTACTAATAATGCCTAGGATATTTATCTTTATGCAGTCCATTTCATTTTTGACAGCTTCCAAGTTTCCTAGATTCATACTTTGTACATTCCACGTTCCAATTTTTAATGAATGTTTGCAAAGATTTCTTCTCATTTTGAGTCATGATGTGTTAGCAAATAAAGGTCCAGAAAGCTTTACTCTATCCACCTCATTAAGGTCACCTCTACTTTTGAGGAGGCAGCTCTTTTCCAGTCATATTTTCAGTGACCTCTGGTAGCACTGTGGTTAAGCACGGGGCTGCTAACCAAAAGGTTGGTGGTTCAAACTCATCAGCCACTCCATGGGAAAAAGATGGGGCAGTCTGCTTCCAGAAAGATTTCCAGCCTTGGAAACCCTGTAGGGCACTTCTACTCTGTCCTATAGGGTTGCTATGAGTCAGAATTGACTCAATGGCAGTGGGTTTGGATTGGTTTGGTCAACCTGAGGGGCTCATCTTCTGGCATTTTATCAGACAATGATGCCCTGCATAAGGTTTTCAGTGGCCAATATTTTCTGTTTATTTTTTCAGAAGTACACCTGCCTTCTTCCTAGTCAGTCTTAGTCTGGAAGCTCTGCTGAAACCTGTCCACTGTGGGTGACCCTGCTGGTATTTGGAATACTGGTGGCACAGCTTCCAGCCTCACAGCAACACACAAGCCACGAGAGGAGGACAAACTGACAGACGTATGGTGGGTGTGGCTGTAGGAAAAATCATGGAAGCGGCCTGTTCATGACTGGAGTCTCAAAGCTCCTGGTATGAGAAGAGGAGAGTGGGGCCCTCAGTGCTGCCTGATCACCTGTGGCCAAGAAGAGACGGAGGGTCCGTGTATTTTGCAATGACACTATCTCTCACACTGATCAACAAGTCTGTCTGGCCTGAACATAGAATGCAGGGTTCTGAGGGCACCAGGATGCTGTTGCTTTCTCAGACTGCTCACAGAAACGTAAGTTCCCCTGCCCCCCTCTCCCCCCGCCAATGTCACCTTTGGGGCCAGAGGGCTCTTGCAGATGGGGGAAGAAGCCCTGATCCCCCACGACAGGCTGGAAGGCCAGGTGGAGCACCTGTGATGGGTGAGGGCTTGTGGGCTTTGGGATGCTATTATGTTCAACCCTGACGTGGTTCCAGCCTTCCTGAGCTCCCGGCCTCAGGACATGAGAAAAGTGATGAGATGTGGGAACAGGGGTTCACAAGCCTAATCCAATCAGCTGGTCCCTAAAGGCAGGGAACAGGACACAGGGCCCCAGCAGATGGGATGAGCGAGCTGCAGGCACTGACTGGAAAGGCAGGACGGTCCCCTCTGGAGCACTCAGTCTCCCCTCAGCCAAGCCTGCTCTGCAGCCCCTCAAGGGACAATGGCTCTCTGTGGGCCTCAACGTACAGGAGATCCTGTCTAGGAAGTGACACGATCCCCAAGACGCTCACAGTTTATCGTCTGCTCCCCCAGCCTGGCTCACCCTTCGGCAGCTGTGGCATGGACACAGCCCAGAAATGCCCCGGCCTTTGTGATGCTCAGATCTGGATGAGTTCTTACGGGCAATGCACACAGAGAAGTCAGATGAGGGCAGAGCATGCCTGCCTCCTCCACCAGCCCCCAGTGACCACCACCTCCAGTGATCATCACCTCCAGCCCCTAGTGACCATCATCTTCAGCCTCTCAGTGATCACCTCCAGCCCCCAGTGACCATCACCTCCAGCCCCCAGTGACCATCCTGACACTACAAAGGCATATGCTGGGTACACTCCGGGCACTCAGACATATGGAGGCATCTAGTCCTCACAGTAACTCAATGAATGTCCACTGCTGGCGCCCACTGTGCACGTGAGGAAACAAAGGTGCAGGAGGTGAAGCCGCCTGTCTGAGGGCCCGACTCTCCACCCAGTTTGGCAGTCCTACCCCTGTGCCCCACCCCTGCTTTCCACCAGCCCTGCAGCCACTCCTCTCCGCCTCCACAAAGCCTCCTGAACGCAGCCAGGGACCTTGAGTCCCTCCTTCCCATGGGATGCTCTGGGACCTAGCTTGCACGAGGCCCCCACTAGGCACTGTGCTGGTCAGCATGTCCCCAGTGGATCCTCTAGGAAGGAGGGAGATGAGCCCCCAAGTCAGTCGTCAACGTGAGCAAACATCAAGGTGTCACCTGCAGATGTTTCTTCCCTTCAGCGTATTGTTTTGAAATGTTAAGGGTCTCCCCGGTTTGTAGAGGAGGAAAAAACCTCTTAAATGCAGCTCTGAGAGGTGGGCCTACACTGGTACTCCCAGCCCTTAATCACCAGCCTGTGAGTCATTGACTTCCACAAAAAATGATACTGTTATTACTGACAGCAAAGCCAGACCTTGAGAACTCAAAAGTGACCAAAGTTATAATTTAAAGCCAACATATTTTTCCAATCCTAAAAGACAGTGGAAACACACACTACTACACTCCAGCTAGTTGCATTCTTAGAGTAGTGACTAATCCCTTTCCCTTACTAAATTCCTTTGCTTACGGTTAAAATGCTAGAAGAATCAATGCTACTTTTCCTCAGGATTTAAAAGTCACAAGTCAACGCTAGTTAAGGTGGGAAATGTAGTTTAGGTGCAGCCTTTCTTACGAGTGGACGCTGGCTAAACACATCTAACTTTAGCACGTATTTCCCGCCCACTAAAGTGCAGAGGCCCTTGGCTCTGCATTCTGCCACGCGGTACCTCGCTTCTGGACGAAGACCCGGAGCAGGGGGCAGGCACTGGACACGGCCTTGGAGAAGTTGTCATCATTATTGATGGGCAGCAGATCACCATGCACATCTGCGTAGCCGATGGTCACGTCCGTGCTGGCAAGCCGGTGAGTGTGCACCACCAGCTGGTAGAAGTCCTCGAATCGGCCAGGCCTGTGGCGGTCCAGGGAGAACCTCCGGAATTCAGCCCCAAACTGCAACGGAAGAGACCCGGTGAACAGACAGCAGGGAGGGGCATCCTAGCAGCGTGGGGCGGCGGAGGGGGGGAGTGGCGAGGGTGGGCCAAGGACTTGCTCTCCACTGGGCAGGGCAGGGCTCTGAAGGACAACGGGCTGACAGGTGTCTAGGGAGGAGGCTTGGAGCCCAGGTGAGGAAGGAAGAAGAGACACTTCAAAACTTATTGCAAATATATTAAGAAGCTGTGGTGGTGTGGTGCCTAAGGCATTTGACTGCTAACCAGAAGGTTGGTAGTTCAAACCCACCCTCTGCTCTGAGGAAAGAAAATGGGGACAATCTAGTTCCAGAAAGATTTACCCTCTGAAACCCAAATGGGTAGCTATGAGTTGGAACTGACTCAGTGGCAGTGGGTATGATATTTGGGTTAGGACGAGCATTACCGGACAGGCACTCAGGGCCTCGTGAGGACCCTCCGTAAGGCAGCAGCCCTGGAGCCTGGAGGGACAACACCACAGAAGGAAGGGGTGGTGAGAGTCCAGACACAGGCCCTGGCTCAGATGACTCAAAGGCCAGAGAGGAAGCGAGGCACAGACAATTTCTGGGCTTTCTTAAGGGCAAAGGAAGCGTGTGATGTGATTTGCATTTCAAAACAATCAGAAGTGGAGGCCAAATGGAAAGACAGAAGCCTGAGGAATCAGGGAGGTGAAACATGGGCACTGGAAGTGTGCCATTGCTGAGCACTGGATCGGCACTCACTGAGAGAGCAAATGACCTGGGGACTGTGACCAGGCGGCCAGTCTCTGGGAAATGCCAGAGCCAAAGCTTCCCCAGCACTGGCCACTCAGACGCCTGCAGTGCTACAGGCCACCTGAAGAAGGGGGTCTGAGTGCTCTGCTACCCAAGGAGCTGCCTCAGCACGTGGGCTACAGCTTCGAGCTTACCCTCACCTAGGAAGGGGCCTGTGTTCATGAGGCAGCAGTTGGTGTTCTTTAGTACAACTGACATTAATCATATAGGCCCCAAACACATAGAACTAAACAGCATCTGTTGCTGTTATTATGTGCCGTCGAGTCAGACCCGACTCATAGAGACCCCTCCTTGGGTTTCTGAGGCAGTATCACTATGGAAGTAGATTGCCCAACCTTCCTTCTGAGGAGTGGCTGGTGGGTTTGAACCGCCAGCCTTCTGGTTAGCAGCCAAGTGCCTTAGGCACTACGCCACCAGAGCTCCTAAACAGCATCTAGACCCATCAATTCAAGAAGGGCCCCCTTCTTCAGGCCACCTGTAGCTCTGCAGGCCCGTATCTTGCATGGGTCTCAAACTTGGGTTGGATCAGAGTCACCCTGTACAAGCAGGCCAGGAGTATGTGTTTTTAACAAGTTCCAGGAAGCTGAGGTCATTGGTCTGGGGACCACAGGGATTTTCAGGGAATCCACTTCTAGAGATCCTCTTTGCTAAAGCTGTGGTGTCTGGGCACCGTCTGCTTCTCCACCCACCACAGGAAACCGCCTCCACCATCCAGTATGGCCCCAAGGAACAAAGATGTCCCAGGTGCTAACAACAGGACATTCAAATCTCCTATGGAGAAAGCCACCTTTAATGACTAATCAGAACACTGGGGACTGACTTGCCCTATGCACAAGTGCTGGTTGAGGAGAGAAGAGTATTCACTCCCTCAACGCCCCTCCCCAGCCCAGCAGAGCAGACCCTCACCACCCACACATGTTTAAAGATGAGCAGCTTTCTTCTCAAATTTATCCCAGTGATGTGGCTGAGGGGCTGTCTGGGGTCTTGACACTTCCCAGACCCACAGCGGGAATTCTCCTTCAGGTCTGTGACACTCAATGCATGAGGAACAGCCAACTCGGTCTTTCCGTCCCTCGTGTCCAGCACATGCTTCCAAACCAACTGTCCTCAGCACTATGTGCTCTTCTTCTCACTGAATACACAGAAGGTTTAATCACAGGATCAAACAACACCAATAAACGTATTTCTGACTTTTCTTATGGGATCTTTCAATATCGCCCCAATCCGGGCCCAGATCATGCTCTCACGTCACCCCACCTGGCACCGTGCCTCCCTACCGCTCCTCGCCTGGCACTGTGCTCAGAAGGTCCCTCCATCACAGCAACCATAGCTCAACTACAGACAATCAGCTCGCCTTCTACAGGGTCTGAATCTTAACTGCATTTAGTAACTGACCTGAAATGCATCTCAATTTATTTCTCAGTACTTTCAATAATTGCCCTTAGAGTGTATTGACATGTTTTTAGCTAGAAAATGAATTCAGACTTTCTTGTGACAGAAAGAGTCTGATTTGTGTTTGGCGATGAGGCTTTGCCAGCTTAGCTCCGTGATGAACATGCTTGATGCACTGAACGAGCTCTGAAGTTTAAGCAAAATTAGATTTAAAATGTGTCAAAATTAGATGTGACAAAAGTGTCTTCTTTGAAAACACATATTGTCATGGGGCACTAAGTTAGTTTTCTTTATTTTCCCAGGAAACCAGGGTGTTGGTATTGCTGAGTGTTGTCAAGCCGATTCCAACCACAGCGATCCCGCATAGCAGGCAGAACTAAGGGCCCCATAGGGTTTCCGAGGTTGTCATCTTGATGGAAGCGGACTGCCAGGTCTTCCTCCCTAACCCAGCTGCTGGGTGGGTTCAAACTTCCAATCTTTTGGTGAGCAGCTGAGTGCCCCCAGAGCTTCTTGTGTACCAGATTAAACAAGGTGAAAGACTGAGCAGGTGTAATTCATTGTCATACAATTCTTGGTAAAGTCCGTGTTTTTGGCTTACCTGTCAAAAATTGAAAAAGTGAAAGATTTGCATGTTAGGTGATTTCCAATTCTCTGCTTTCAACAAAACTGAAAGAGGTCAGGATTGAGTTAGTTGTCAGAGATCATGATCGACTTAGTTACCAGAGGTCATGATCAAATTAGTTGCCAAGAATCATGATCAACTTAGTTGTCAGAGGTCATGATCAAGTTAGTTATCAGAGGTCATGATTGAGTTAACTGTCTGCTAATAAATTCTTAAAAATAATTTTTCACAATAGGTGACTTTCTTTTGGCTCACAAATCGGTGAGCGTTCAATGAACCAAGTGCCAGTGTGGGCATGCTTCTCCTCCATGCCCACCCTCTAGTCCAGGTGAACGTTCCTTCCCAGTGTTTCCATAGCAATGAAAAGTACCCAAAGAACTGATGCTGAGATGGGCACACAGGCTGAATGATCAGGTATGTCTAGGCAGGGGGTGTGCCCATTACCATGTGTAGGGTTAGCAGACAGTGTTTCTACATGCATATTTGCATCTGCTGTAAGAATGTCTAAGTGTATAGTAGAGCTGACAAGGGGCAAGGTTGTGATGGCTTCTTGGCCACATCCAGCTACCCAGAGGGAGCGAGTAGTTGGACCTGTGGGCTTGGGCCCATTGTCATATGGGACATTAAGCTCAACTGGCATAACATACTACACAAAAACACTGCTCTAAATCCTACTTTGGTGAGTAGTGACTGGGATCTTCAAAGCCTGCAAGCGCCCATCTAGATGCAACGATGGGTTTCTCCTTGTTCAGAGCAAAGAAGAATGAAGAAAACCAAAGACGCATGGAAACGATTAGTCTAAGGGACTGGTACACCATGTGATTCTCAGCCTATATGACCATGAGACAGAAGAACCAGATGGTGTCTGGCTACCACTGTCAACCACTCGGAGAGGGACTGGTACAGGAGATCCTGGATAGAGTGGGAGAACGATGTGGAACAAAACTCCAAATCACAAAAAAAAAGACCTGGTTTGCTGCTCAGATAGAGCCTGATGAAACTCCTGACTATGGCCCCAAGCCACCATTCAGGTCTAGAATTGAACTCATTCCTATGGCTTTCAGCCAAACAATAGACTGGCATATGGAGTGAATATTCACATCAGGTAGATACACTACTTGGAAGAACAGAGGGGCAGTGTTTGCACAAGGAGACAGCTCAGGGGGCAGGAGTGCACAGGAGGGAAGGACACAGGGAAGAGGTAACCATGGGGAAGAAGTGGGAAGAGAGCTGTTACATTGTGGGGAATTACAGTCAATGTCATGAGACAAGATGTATATGAACTGCTGTATGTATGGAAAGTGAATTTGCTCTGTAAACTTTCACCCAAATCACAATAAAAATTAATAACAACAAATAAATAAATAAGGAGGAAAAAAAGAATACAAAAGAAAAAAGTAAGATCTGAAGAACTGATGCTGGCTTTGTCTCATTTTAGCAATAAGCCAGTCTCAAGTGAAGGGTTTCTGAAATGCCCATTTTGGATGGTTAATAATTGCTTAACAAATTTGGTAACTGTTTTGATCAACTATGACAATAATGTAACGACTCAACCTAAATTATTTTTAACAAACATGGCCACAAGAAGAAAACATTTAACTTCCATTTATATACATATTTTTGTTGCAGAGAAGAGTGATGGGCCAATCAAGCACAAGTCAGAGTAATCACATACACGTTATTAGGGTAAAATGCTCTTGGGAGAATAATGGGAACCACAAATTAAAGATAAAAAAGAACCATGTCAAATGCCTGCTCATTAAAAAAAGAACTCATTTATCCTATTTTAAAATGAGCACCAGTAGGATCAAATCACAGCATTCAAATTTCCGTTGGCTATATTTAAAAGATCATGAGTTTTATTTTTAAATTAAATATTTACAACCTGCTGGAAATTATATCCTTTGCAACTATTTATATTTATTTTCAAAAAATAAATGCCAACTTAAAAATATATCCTCTAATGGTAGTTTTCCAAATTCTTTTATGAGTATGTGACATTTGAAGACCACTGCATTAGGGTACAGGGATTGCTATGAAAGTGCCTAAGTCACCATAAAAGGTCAACAGAAAGACTCCATTGAGCTAATATTTTCACTGTATCTTAATATTTGCATGTGTTTGTGTGTTCATATAGCAGGGCTTAATACAGGACATCTTTGCTCTTCAGCACTTTAAAGAGGTCTTTTGTAGCAC